TGTCGCGACGCAATAGGAGTTCATGCAATGCATGCTTTTTTCGAAACAAGTGACACAATATTATGACGATGATACATTCGAACCAAGACTTTGAAACCGTTTCTGGAAAACACCAGCATGATGAAGTATGCTGCAAGTAAGATATTCGCAGCTTCCTCATTCTGTTGAGTGAGTGAGACCAGGAAATGGAAGTTTTGGAGCGTCCTCGACCCGATCCGCAATTAAGACATTTTAGGATTCAGTTGTTTCGGGAAAACAGCCTGCTATTTAAGGGGTTTTGGTATATTGGAATCATTCATTTAACGCAATTTCGGAAGACGATGTGGCTTCGGTACTATTCAAACTTACTACAGGAAGGGTAAGCTTTGAGTACAGAAAACGCTCTAACTGTGTATCAGCTAATTGAGTTTGGTTGGTAATTGGTGGATAACAGTTTCTTTGCTTAGGAAAGCATGCCTGGACAGTCAACTTACTATATCAGCATTGACAGATTACATACGGTGCAGCAGGCTGAACGGACAACTTGACCCGAATAGAATTAAACTCATGATTCGTGGTGGGGCCTCGTTTCTGAGCGTTGGCCGTACTCATGTGTCACCTTTGCTGTCGTTGGTTGGATTCTTATCATGGCAGCTCAGTTTTTTTCCTAGTTTGATCAAATAAAATTGGTATTTGTAGCTGGTCCTTGTGCTCGTTTTCAATATAAGCTTTCGATCAGTTTGTTCTGTTCTATTTCTCGGAAAGTTCTCATAATTACGTTGTGGAGGACTTTCTCTGTCTCAAATGCCTTGCAAGCTAAATACTGGCCCCGCGGGATTCGTTAATGGCATTTATCCATAGGTCAATAAGAGCGAACGAATGCAGCTGGCGATCGGTAACTTATATTACTTCTGTAATATGTCTGCGGAACTATGCTAATCTTTATGACTGTGTGAACGTGCAGCGTAAAATTGCAAGCCTTCCTCCAAATATAATCAGGGTTTTTGGGAGAAGTTGCTTTTTATTTAGGGTATGCTATGTCGTCAAACCCAATAACGGTCGATAAAATGATGTTTGGTAGAAAATTCGCTTCCTTTCGTGAAAATCACTATTGGCAGGCAAACGTCCTTGATATTCTTAGCAAGTCAAGGGGCGAATTCAGAAATTGTAAACCTTTCAAGGATTGGGCCTATTTGGTCCCCCTAGAAGTTCTTGCCTAGTTTCGATAGTCGTCTAAATGTTCTTTCGGTAAAATTTACCACCGTAGTCTGTCTTCCGACATAATGTTCGCTGACGCTTCTATTATTGTTTCAGGAGTTTGAGGTTCTTCTGTGGAGTTGACTGGCCTTGAGTTTTCTATAAAGTTTACCGAAAATTTGCCAGTCTATTACATCAAGAATGCTCAGCCAACTTCAACATTAATGAAGTGAATAACCTTAAGGTATTATAGGACGACAATTTAAATGGGCAACAGTAGTTTATGTAGTGCACCTCAGTAATCCCTAGTCCAAGCATCTTTTCCTACGCAAACGGTGGTTATTGGGTTTTACGGGTTGGGAATTAGGATATGCAGTAGATTCCACCGTAATAACTTCTATATGCATTTTATTGTATTGTTGATTTGTATCTGTGGATTTTCCTAATCTGTATTATCACTTATCTGTATTATCATTTAAAGTATCGTGGAAAAACCCGATTATCAAATTGCAGGTTTCTTGAACTTCCTGAAAAATGGAAATGGTGGTTAGGAGGTCGTCTACTTTAACTTACCTGGGGCCCAACTTAACGTTCTGGAGTTAGATTAGTAAAGTTACATGCAGAACAACTTACTCCCAGTGACCGCGGGAAACAAATTCGACTACATTTTTTTCAGTTTAACCTTCTAAAAATTTCTTTCCCTGCTTATCCTCTTTCCCCACCCCAAAAACCCTATAATCATGGTTTCCATAGGACATGATCAAGTATAGTAACGGTAATCAAAGAGTACTGGAAGAATAATGATGCGAGGCCGTGGAGCTACCGTTCGTCTGAGCTAAGCCGCTCCGACTTACTAAATAAAATGAAATAGGAGGAATTTAGCTTCCCTTGTTTACTGGCTGTGTAAACTTTATCCTCCGCCTTCCTCTGTGGCATTGGCTGAACCCGTTTCTCCTTCCTTTAAAATACTTATTTTTTTTACATCCCTAAGGTAATAGCAGACATTTTTCACGAACTTACGCCTACTAAGCTCGGATCCTTTACGCATTCCTTTCCATAAATTAACCCCTTCAGTGATCCGCTTTGTCTTGTTTTCATCGTACTGTCGACCGGTAGCTTTAAAAACTCGCATTGCGCATTAGGAAATGATTTATTAGTGTTTGGAAATAGGTGATACTTTCTTTTGTGAAAACCTCATGTAATGTACGGTGTGCCTAGAGATGGTTTAAAACGAGAAGAATAAGTGCAGGCTCAAGCGCCAATGCGATGGCCGAGCTCGCTTTTGAAGGACTTGTCGTTTTTCCTCCTTTTGTCCCGCTGTTCGGAGTCGTATTTGTAGCCGTAACCCCCTGGGTAGCATTTATCGTTCCATTTGCCGACGGTGCTGGTGACAGTTCCGTCGGGGGGCACCGTGCTTCAAAGGATAAACACATTTTTTTTGAAGCTATTCATCCTCTATCAGAATATCAAGATAAAGGCTTACTGGTACTAAGATAAGGCTTGATCTTACTAAAGTGTTTCCGGGTATGGATTTGCCTATATTTTTCGCACTGAGCGATCTCAATTCTGTCCTCGGTTTGGAAACTTATTCATGCTGATTCTAAATCTAATCATCGTTTATTGTCTACTTTAATCCAGCTTAAAAAGCTCGCGGGCTGGGGTGGCTTCGTTTGGTGTAAGATCTACCAAAAACAAATCCGGCCATGTCATCGTATAGGCAGGGCTACTATTATAATCATAGTAGTTAAAAGCAGAAATTACAAAAAGGTTTAACTGACGTAGGTATGTTATGGTGGGTAAAGTGATCGTGTGGAATTGGTTAAAATTACTAGTTGGGAGGGCAATGCCAAGGGGTCTGGCAAATTATTTCTCACTATTCCCTGCATTTGCATTCTGCTCCCGATGTGGATCATTCAGGCACTCGAGATCAATTTCTTGAATATTTATATTTAAGGTCACAAAAACTTGCGTCCTCGGAATGAATATTTGGATTGGAGTCGTTTTTTGTTTTTCACTGTTCAGCCCACAACCGGTGTTACCGGATGTTCACAAGGTTTTCAAAATACTGAGGAGGTAGAGCGAAATCACGCATTCCATACTGTGATAAGTCTCGAATAGTTGATGTACTTATTCAAGATGAGAAACTGTGGTACTCTTGCCCAGTATTATCCAATGACGTAGTTGGCGAATGGCTAGTGAGACTTCATTCGAACAGAAACTGTTAGATAACCAAGTTCTAACTCTGAGGGGACCCGTCTTCTTACGAAAGACACGACCTAACAAAGGCTTTAATAATCCTTTCAAGGATCTAACTATTCACCTAGACAATACTGATGCGTATGTATATTCGTGTCGAAATTGTAGCGTCTCTAATACTGCGAACGGCCGTTTTCCATTAATATATAGACCCTATTTTTGAGCCTGGGTATAGCCTTGCTATCAAAAAAAACATTTTAACGAGCACATCCAGCGACGTCCACCATTGCATTTTAATCTGATGACAACTTTTCCGGCTCTTCGTTTTGCGTGCAAAATACGTACTGAAGTATATTGACATGCGTACGAAAACTGAACAGATGTCATTGCATACTTCTCGCACCTATTAAAACAAGTGTCATTAATGGTATGTACTCTTGAAAAACCAAAAACACGAATCCTAAACTACCCCTACGAGTAATTCAGTTTTGTACTTACTTTTTCCGGCGCATTTAGCTCAAAAACCTACTAATCTTCGCTCACCGGGTCTGGCAGACACAGGTCTACCTAAGTGGGCGTTGGGCTTCAGCTATTGGTGCATCATATTTTTGAGCGTGGACTCATCGACTATATGTCCTACATACTTCAAATGCCTTTAAATTATTCTCACATTCGTTGAACTGACTTTACACAGTCAGAAATATATATGCTTGTTTAAATATTCTATCCTTAGAGCAATAAAGATGAATCTGCCTCGACACCTCCTGTGGGTTCTAGATTTAATGAGTTTAAAACCAAACCTAAGTTTCTTAAGTGACCGTGACCTCGAAAGCCTCCGACTAGTGGGCACTCACATCCCCATTTGTATGTTCTACCAAAAATCCATAAGAATGGCCTGCCAGTTCGTCGGATTATGGACATGCGCAACTCACCGTATCATGCGATAGCGAAGTGGTTAGCA